TAACAAAGCAATCCACTATTGTAAAGCAAAATTGTAAAACCAAATCGTAGCATCCACTCAAAGTTATTCCAGTAAGTAGCACATTTAACTGAAAGGTCACTAAGAAACAGAAAACCTTTTGACCATAAAGTTCTTAATGTTGTCTTGCACTGTAACTTACGCTGAAAGACCAAGAAAAAACAATAGTTTATCTAAAGAAGAGTTATTCATCTTTAAATTCAACTTTTATTTTAACCCAAATCACATTTTTAAGATGACTGGAACACTAAGAGCCTTGGGTTCCAGCCATGCATTAAGTCCACTAAGCTATCATTTTCTATACAAAAAATATGGCAGAGATGCTCTTAGCTGGGATGTTCAGAGAACAATATCAGTCAAAAGATCATAATCAGGATTTTTGATTGGCAGCTCAAAACTGGTCCTTCAAGTCCTGGTCAGTGAACTACCAAGACCTCTAAAGAACTTCCCTTTGCAACAGGCCATGAAGCAAGGGAGTCAGTACGTCATCTTGGAGGCACCAGCTGGGCGGACAGTTTCCACTTTCAGACTAGGTTTGAGATTCCTGCACACTGTGAGCAAAAACTTGCAACATTCCTGCCAGTGCTGGAGCTTCAAAATGGCCTGTCTGATTTTATCCAGCCCTCTTAAAAAAGGAAAAAAAATCCAGAACAAAGTCAAGTTCTACCAAATCTACCAAAAGAATCATTCTATTAAAAACAAAGAAGAATCAGACTGACAAACCACAACAATATAAAGAACTTTTATTTTTCGTTTTTTTTCCTCTTCTTTTTTCTCTTTTGCTGTGCAAAGTTTTGTTATTACACTCACAGCTTTGTACCAAAGAGAGAGAAGAAAACCAAGGGCATTCTATGCACATGTTCTACACAGCTTAAATTATTAAATATTCAATCATGTTGTTTTATTCCACTTCCATTCTTCAAAACGACTGTTTAACACTTACAGCAAAATGAAATTTGAGAAGCTGGCAGGCACATATAACAGAATATATACCTACACAGTTTGCTCTTTCACTATTAAATATTTTACAAACAGTAGCTGAAACAGTTTCCTTATCCTTCCTCACATATTCTGCAACTCTGGACAGCTTAGACTGAATGATTGTACCATACAAGCCTGAAAACCAAGATTCATCTGTACCTGTGTTTTAATCCAAAAGAAGGGAAAAATATTTTCTCAACACCACATTTTTGTTGCTGGAAACCTGCAGTTTCTTGTGAGTTTTCAGTTATCATTTACCTTGATCCGGCATTATTGTACAGTTAGAAAATGTGCGTTAAGAACTGCACTATTTCAAACACACTGCACAGCCAAACTCCTGCTATTTTGCAGAAGTCAGCTCATGTGCTGATAATACGTTTAAAGTCTGCAATCCACATGTAAGTGACACAAGGCAAGCAGAAGCTGGGATATTTAATGCATCTTTGTATCAACGGATGCAGCATTTTTCCACTCGGCCCCTTCCACATACAGAAGCAGCAGCATTAGGCCATACAGTATTTTGCACTGCCAGTTAGCTGTTAATTTTCCCTGTGATTTGAAGGAGAAAGGAGCAACGACTATAGACCAATCCTAGCACTGTCTTATCATTCAATACACGTGAGGCTATTCGGGTTGTGGAAGGTTAAGCTTTGCAGTACATGTGAACTTTAAGTGATCATTTTATGCTACTCATGTCCTCCTTTTGGAGCTCGGGCAGGGCTTGGCATGCCTGTGGCACAACAAGTTCTCACGTTTTGAAGAGAATGATATAACTGGTTTCAGTAGCACCTGGCTCATTCTTTATATCATAAAAGCGTACAATGGCTCTGGGCACTTTCTGTCCGCTGAGGAGGCTCATAGCTTAATAGGCACAGCGTCAGTCCTGCTAAGAGGAAAATGGTGGCTTGCCCCCCCATAGGGCCTGCCATATGTAGTCAGCCTTATAGCATGTCCAGAGCTCATTATTTAACATTTGACTAATAAAATAAACATTGCTAACCACAAAATAAACCTCGCTCTACTCATTCTTCCACCCACAACTTTTTACTTGCATAAAAAATAAACTGAAAACAAAAATAGTCCTGAAACAGGCTTCAGATGTGCAGTACTGCTTTTCATGCAAATATTACTCCATTAAATTTCACAAATAGTCCACTTTCCCAGAGTTACTACACTCTTCGACCAGAGGCATATCAGGAGTCAAAACCCTAAGTTGCAAGACCAGAGAGACCTCATTAATGGCTCCCAAGCCAATATATTAGCCGGCATATCTCTTCTGCAATTGCCTCTGGAAGAAGTGAACAGCCAATAGCAAAAACTGCACCGAATTCCAGCTGAACAAGTAGGAAACCTCCCCGCAGAACTCCAGAGACGCCTGGGCATTCCCACAGCTGCACAACAACTTCCTTTTAAGATATCCTCAGGACAAAGCAGCACAGCATTTTCCTCTGAACCCCTGAGCAATTCTTAAAATTGTTTTTGATTTATGAAGCAAAATATTACAAACACTTATGCAGTTCTGCTACTTTCCTGCCTCTTATCCATTTTAAGATTCCTACAATGTATCTGAAATGACCTACAAAGTAGCAAAAGACACCAGGGCTGAAGCTGGATTTCAGAAGTCCAGACTTTTCACAAGGTCTGTTTCCAAGGAGAGATACGGAAATACCACAGACTACAAGAAAAGAAAGTCTGCTTCCACCAACTAGAAATGATAAACTCAACAAGCAATCAGGAATGCAAATAAAGTGTAATAACTGTGTCTGTTGCAACACCTAGTGAGAAAGATCTTTACACGTTCCCGAAAATAGCTGAAAGAACGTGAAGAATCACAAGGAAGAAGTCACAAAATCTACTCTTGCACACCATTTTTCAGAATGCTACAATCACTCCACATGCTTGTCCTCAGGACACACACCTCCACACCTTCACTTCAAGCACAGTACATGAAGGGCAGCTTAAGATGTTCATATTATTTATGCCACACTTCTACATGCTCCCTCACTGTGGCTCAAAAAAAAACCCAGAAGAACTGTTGAATATCGATAATTTTGGAAATGATTTAAGTATTAACGCAGTATTCTGCTTTTAGGTCATGAAAAACCCAAATACTAGAGACTTTAGAGCAATACAGCCTGCATAAGAAAACATTTACACTACTCAGCAACTTCTCCAAAACTGATTATGTCTTGAATTGCTTCATCCACAGACAAAAAAAAAAAAAAAAAACCCCCCACCCAAACCCCAAAAAACCCAAACCAAACAAAAAACAAACCCATGAACACACACCCCCAAAACTGAAACAAAAACACTCTCAAAACAGCCTGGGCTCTGAGCCACATATTGGGTTTTTTCCTGTCCACAACAGCTTAATTAAAACAAACCCAAACAAATCACCACAAAGGCATTGGAACATCAGGGATTCCCATGTCTTTGAAGTAGGATGCAACTGCATCTCATTCCTATTTTATTCCTCTCTCTAAAAAAAAAAAAAAAAAAAAAAAATCATCTATGTCAAGCAATGACAGAGATATTATGCTTGTCTGCTAAGACAATACAAAAACAGTCTGCTTCAGAGAAGGCCCTGAAGTTCCTTGCTTTGATGGCAGTGGAACATCCATGGGCTTTCCTCAATCGCTTTCTTGGCCTATAAAGGCTTCTTTGTAGCCTCAAAGAATGAGGCTACGAAACTTATTTGGTCTATGGTTGGCATACCAAGCCTGAAGTGAGTGGTGAAAGAGATGCCCAGTAAAAATTGTACATGCAATTTGTTTGAAAAGCACTGGATTCATTCATAAGCAGCTCAGTTTTCACACTGGGCTGTCTTTACCTTCTGTTACAGTTTAAGGAAACCTCTGCTTTTTTATCCTGAGCAGCAAATTAGGCAAAAGTGAACAAAGCTCCTTACTTATTGTTTAAGAGAGCTCTTTGCTAAATTAGTGTCATTATGGGAGAGGGGACTGCACATGCAAGTAGTACATTTCATTGAACTTAACAGGTAAAGTCTTCCACCCCAAGGAAAACCTGCAGAGGAATCCTGACAAGTAGAAACAGTGTTCCTCTCTGCACTACCTTCTTTGTGGTACCTTCAGTGCATTAGTAGAAACAAGACTTTTACATGCAATATGCATTTTGTATCCTCAGCTTCTGCTTGAGAACTTCAGAATTAAAAATCCTTTAAAATTCTGCTCCATTCTTTCCAGTTCAGTTTTTGTTATAACTTGATATAGCCCAAGCCAATTAAGCCAGTTCGCGACAGAAACAAAACACAACCTAAGTGGATGCACTTAGACAGGCCGTGCCTTTGCATTTCTCTTAGTTTGCTATGCCGTGAAGATATGGGACTGCAAAGCTCAATCACTAAGATTCCAAATAAAATCAGGAATCCAGCTATGGTGTTGTATCAAGATAGCAGTGGTTATGCTGGTATTTAATGAAAACAAGAGTCAACACCACTTACTACTTTCCTGTACATAAGGACCTATATTTAAAAAGACAAAGATTGCAAAGCACATGAATGGAGCCACTGTTCTCGCTGTTTTGCTGCTACAGGCATACCTCAAGAAACATCTGCTTTCCTCCAAATAATCAAAATACCTCAGGAGGTATAGTATTTAGGGCAGTCTGTCACTGTACGTACTGTGCCAGTTATAGCAATTTTTACACAAGGAATAAAAAAAAGTTACAATTAACATTAAAAAAATTAATTTATTCCAGTTCCCCATAAAATACCTTTTCTTTTTATGAAGAAAGTCAAAATGTACACTAGATATTCAGGTTACACTGTTAGAATTTGATATTCTGGTTTGCAGAATTTTATTAAAATCAGCTAAAAAAATTGGATACAACATAAAAACAGACACGTCTGAGACGCTTAGCAGGCTTCAAGCTGAATTTGTAAACAACAGCACCTATTGTAATCTAAGTTCTCAATACCCCTCTGGACTTCCCAAAGACTCTCAGACTATGCTTCTTTAAAAACAAAAACCAACAGAAAAAAACAAGAACACAAAACCAAGGCAGACAAGAGGAGTGAATATTCTTATCTGTCAAAGAACTGAAAACTTGCAAAAATCTTCCATCTGTGCCAAGTCTTAATTGATCAGCCTTATTTCTACAGACTGCAACACAACCTGCAGTTTCTGTAGCAAGGCATTTCATCCCCACTCCGTTTTTGCATTCCAAGTGGGAAAAGAAAGGGAAAGACTGGAGTAAGAAATTGATGTTGTTTGGAATAATTCTGACATATAAAATTACTTCCCAATGTGGGAGGTGAAAAGCTTCATGAGTCAATCCTGCTGTCATCCTCAGCATGTCTTTCAATGTGTCCTACAGCATCCTAGAAAAGAACGATAGCAGTCAATTAATAATAACAGCAGCAGCAGCAATAATAAAAAATAATTCTTTTACAATCAAAAAAAACACAAAAAACTTTGCAAAACATTCTTGAAGGCTCAAACTGACATTCTGGATAATATAAATTTTCTGGATTAAAGCTTCAAAAAAAAATCAACTTAAAAATTTTTTTAAAAAAATCAATGACAAGCTATGAAATCACATATCTAAAGTACCTCTCATCTCACATGATTCAGGGCAAATAAAAACCAGCTTCTTTTCTGACTAGGAGAGCATATCAAATAAACACATCATATCCAAAGCCAGTGCTTAAAAAGAAATTAAAGATTCTATTTCTCTCTCTTAGTTCCCAAAGAAACCTCCTTCCATCGTGTATTTTGAAAAGCATTCAACAGGAAGGTAGTTTTTATTGCCAATGAGCAAGATGTGTATTTACCCATCGGTCTACAGGTAACAACCCTCCTTCCACCCACCCCCCAACCCCTTCCACATCACTTAATCCAAGTCTTATGCCGCCTTCATTTTTTTCCCCACCTGTGCTAACATTTACTCAGAAATTTATGCACTACTTATTTAAAGATTGTTACCAAATCCAATCCCGTGTGAAAAATAAATAGTATCAGCATCCGCAATAATGAAGGGGAGGTAGTGATGGATAAAAACTAAGAGGATAAAAACCTGTTTCAAGACGGACATTTGTTCATCTTAAAAATAAATTTTTCCTACAAAAACGTAATAACATCTTGAGTATTGTTATCAGAATTTCTTCCAGTATTTCAAGAAATTTACCATTTCCATGTAATATTTTAGGATCAATCTTTCTAAAATTGTCCATATTTCAAGTTACCATACTTAGCTGCACTCTTCATCTGTCACAGGTTGAAGTGAACCCTATTAGCCTTATATGACTCCAACTGTATGCAGTTAAGGCTGTCAAAACTAGAAGGATTTAACCCTGTTTAAGAAAAATAGGATCAAGTCCCATAATTATGGTGATATAAAGTACTTTACGCTACCAAATACAACCATGTTAGTTCAACTATATACCTGCTTGGAGCCTTTCCTGGAAGTAAAGAAAGCATCACAGTTCTTCCAACGACATTTTAGGGTCTGAAAATTTGGGTTGGTGTGGTCAGTTAGCAAGTGTTGTTTCAGATGGTCCACAACTCCAAAGATCAGTGAACATCCATGCCACTGGTAGAAAACAAACAAACAAACATGCCAAAATAAACCAGGGAAAAAGAATTTTAGCTAATATTTTTCTTCTTGTAATTTCAATATATTCTACAAAGACTGCTCACACGCATGCCACCTCCTGTAAATATTTAATCTTCTTATTCCATTTCCATTCTCAGTGGTCTCTATTCCTTTAAATAAAGCTTTACAGAGCTTATTCCTGCCTCTAGCCAAGCCTAGACCATCAGAAAGAATGGCAGGAGGAAGAGAGGAACTAAGCCTTTACAAGATTTAAGCTTACCTGAGAAAGTCAATGGGAATTTAAACTTATTTAGCAGAGTAAATGAGCTTTTCTGTGTTATTCAGCTGAAGTTTTTTGTTTTAAAGTTACATGTCACTGTCTAAAAATTGACAGAAAGAAAAATAATTTAAGATGCTACTATCAGCTTGCCCCAAAGCATACACAAAACCATGAAAAAATGGAACTAGTGATATATACTTATATTCAAAATATACAGATACATTTTTAAAATATTATTGAATTATACTAAATTAAAGGTCAAGCTACCCAAGACTGAGTAGTGACCACTCCCAGAAAACTAGCCTAAAAACTATAACAAAGGAAGGCTAAAAACTTTTGCTCATTACCCAGCAACGATAATTCTGCATCAAATTAAGCCTCACAGCTCTGACACTGCCATCATAGCATCCAGTGTAGATCTGCAAAAGAAAGATTTATAGATAAGCAAGCTCTGAATAACAGGAAAAAAAAGTAGTCAACTTTTGAAGGAGACTTCTATGTAGAGTATATTAGGTGAAAAACAATAAAATATCAACAAGCAAGGCTTCTAAAATTAAAAATGTGTCTAACCTAATTCTTTTAAGATTTGCATTCATAGTTTACGAAAGACTACTAATGAATAAGAAATGTTTCCATAACTTCTATCATTGATAGTGTCATGTGTATAAAAGTTATATTAAAATATGTTACTATCTACTGAAGTGAAAAAAAAATTAGGTGTAATGTCAAGTTGAATATATTTCCAGGACTTAACCAGCTATATGTATATCAAAAAGGGATGAAGAGGTAGAGTGAGGAAGAACATCAGAATTTCAGAATGTGAAGACTGATGCAGATCCTGAAAAGGCCGGCAAAATGACATCGTAAAAACCACTTTTATTAGGCAAATGCTCCACACAGAATTGTCTTTTGGAAAGAAAAGGATGTCAGATACTCATAATCCCATAAAGAACATTCATTGTTAAAAAAGTCCTCACATAATACAGAAAACTCTGCATGCTGAAGATTTCATTTGTTATTTTTGTTCCAAGTAATTTTGTCTCTTGGAAATTCATCACTAGGATATAACAGCCCATCTCCTGTGTGTAAGAGACTACACCTTACTACTAAGACTACTACAGATCACTTGTCACTAAACTTCTCATCTGAACACCACTTTGATTTGAGAATGCCCAAAGCAGACTGTTCAAGCCTCAGACTGTAAGCACAAAGCCTGAGTGCACCTTGCTCTCCCTCTCACTCACATGAGAGGCGAAGCTTGGGCAGTATGCATTCCAATTAGTAGGAGATGAGTCTTCTGTAATCACAGATCATTACTATACCTCTTATTTCACAACCTGAAAGAAAGTTTGCAAACAAATTCCTACACATGCAGGCAAATAAGTGCTTTTAATGACTATTTTAAGCAAGTTATTTATCTAGAAGTGCTTCTGAAACCTATCTTGCAGGGCAGATGCATGAAGAAACCTGTGCACCTCAAACAACTGCATACCTTTTTTTACATTTTATCAAAGGTTACCAGAGGTTGGACTGTGGGTGAAGTTTTTCTCTAGCATCTGTGTGATTCTCATAAGTCAAACAGGATTGAAGCTTGAAAACTATTTACTATTTATAGACTCTTCACTGCAATCATCACTGTAAACAGAACTATTGTTTTAAGACTACAGTAAGATAGAAGGTAATTTTTTCCAGACAATAATATTACATAAATACAAAGCTGTTACAGATACTTGATTTTTTTGGCTAGCATTTCTAAGTTCTTCTTAGTCAGGCAGCAGGTTGATTTCATTATCTGAAAAAATTAAACTGTCGTCTTGTGAAAATTACAACCTTCTCTTTGAGACCAGTGAAAAAGAAGGAAGTTACCATGCTCTTATGGATGGTCATACACATGATCATATCTGTGTGGCCTCCATAGACTTGCAAGCGGTCGTGTGACTTGAGAGAAACAGAAACAGACATTTAATAGCATGACAGTTAACATTTTTCCACTTTTTCCACAGACATGCAAATGAACAATGCTTCCAACAGGAGTTTCCTGGGTAGTAACTAAACTCCTCTGGTACATTCCAAACTTCATAACCACTGTGAGAGCTCACTTTTGCTTACATTAATTCTGTGAGTATTTTTGTCCCACTAAGCATTTGGTCTTTCAGCAGAAAAAACTAACATTTCCATGCTTTTCTGAGCTGTCATTGTCCTAGTATAACCCAGGTTCTAAAAAAAATGGCTTAGGATATATTCTTTAAAACCCATGTGTTTTGGCTAGTGAGACAACTATGTATTCTGAGTGACAGGAAAGAGAGGGATGGGCTAGAAACCAGTAAACACAAAGATCACTTCCATTTGACTCCAAAATAATTAATTAACATATATTAGGTAAATGTCATTAGTAACCATCTATTTTCCTACCTGTAGCTCATAAACACGAACAAGTTTATCCAGACATGCTGTCACCATCACCTTCCCAAGAATGTTCACAACCGTTACTGCATGGTTATGGCCTTTATAGATCCGTACCAGCTCTCCAGTCTGCATCAAGAAAAAGCAAAGGCAGACAGGTGGTTTGTTTTTTTTAAAAAAAGACCCAAACAACAAAACAAAGCAGTGTTACCTAACCTAGATGAGGTAGCTAGCTTCAATGTTCACTACTCAAAAAATGGAAACACCCTTTATTAGACTTCCATTTCCTGTGAAGGCATTTCTAGATTATGATCAAATACTACTTATCCTTCTCTTTGCCCATGTTAACACAGAGCTATTCCAATACAATAGAAATGCGTCCCATGAAAAGTATCTACTTCTATTTCCACCATTAGTTACATGTTCTCACCTATCCTGCAACTGGTACTATGCTATTAGTACTAGCAGTAGTTATGTAGCCGTAAGGATCAGTGAGCAAATTTAGCTAAATACACAGAAATATACAGATTTTTTTGTCAATTAAAATTTACCTCTATTTTTGCTCAGTATAACAGCATTTTAACTAGCTCGTTTGGAACACTGTTTGTGTTCCTCAAGTTTTTCCTGTAATAAAGAAACTTCCCCCACTAGAATATCTCACGTATCTTTACTCTGAACCCTTTCCACATTATCAGCACATTTGTAATAATATTTGCAAAAGCAAGATCCCCAAACAAAAAGGCATTGCATATTCGTATTGCAAGAGTCAGTACGTCTATGTATCCTCTGCATGCCTCCTTAGTTAGCTATAGTGCATAGTCAAATGCACTATAGCTAACTAAAATCGTATGACTTCCCTTTCTGGAAGCAATTTGCCCCACCAGTCAGTCAAAAATTCTAGAAATACTGACTTTATAGCACAAGAATTCACTGCCTTAATAGCAAAAATAATTCCAACTTTATATGCTAGACTTACATGAATGTTGTGGGCATGGACAGACTGATCACTGGAGCCACTAAATACCAGATCATTCACAACCTTACATTAAAAAAAAAAAAAAAGTGCTGTATTTTTATAACAGATATGGAAATGGGAAAGCAAAAGATTAAGAGGCTGCTTAGTTTAAAGTTGTATTGTAATATTTCCTAAATTTGACAGTCTTAAAAATCAATGACAAAAAAAAAGTACGCACCGAGTTCTTTACATAAGAGCTAGAAAATGCACTATGCTATGTGCCTAATGATGACCTTTGACATTTAACAATTGCTATTAGAAACTGTTAACTTGCAGCCCACCAGGCTAACTCATCCTACCTATAAACTATTCTCAGGGACAGCTCAGCAGCAGATCAGGGACCAAGCAAACTGAATGCAGAACGCTGCTCTGCACATGCGCAATAAAGCCCATTGTTTCCTGCAAATATTGGATCTGCTGTGTACTTATATTCTGGTCACTTAAGAAAGATGGTGCTCCTGACAAGTGCTAATCTAGAAAGGAAGCTTCAACAATCCATTATGGATCAAGAAGGGACCACAGTATGCTGCCATGCAAGCAAGACTAGGATAGTCTACAGGGCAAAAAAAGGTTGTGCCACTGTACAACGTGTATGTGAAGTGACAAATCCAATTTATGGAAGTCACCCTCTATCTGTTCCATGACAGTAGTCACAGCAAAGCAGTCAGACAAGCATATGTTCCAGCTTGTAATCTCAGGAGCCAAAAACCTGTAAATAGGTGTAGTGATTCTCCTATAAAAAAAAGAGCTTCTCTAGAGTTACATTTTTTACAATTTCTTCTGAGGTTTGCACAGTAAGGATATGAAAAATAGCTTTTTCTCTTCCTCAACTTTCCTTTGGTCCTCAAACTCACATGTCAAGATTCCCTGAATCTTCTAACATGAAATAAACATGCTTCCTACATACATACCCCCAGCAGTTTTGCTGGGAACATGAACTATGGAACCTAGCCAGAGACAATTTTCCTACCAAATTACTCAGTTTTTATCATTTAAAATAGAGAAATCTGCTATTTCCTACCACAAACTATTAGATGAGGAAGAAAAAAAACCAAACCATTTTAAATATTCTTTGTCAAAAATGTATTTTCAGAGATACTTGCCTTCATGCAGAGTATAGTCTTGCTGTGACCTTCCAAGGTTCTGAGAAGCAGTCCGTTGCGCGCATCTCGCACGCTGATAGTGCAGTCATAGGAGCCCACTACCAACAACTTGCGTGCTCCTTCCTGAGCTGTGGCTAGACAGCTCACTGCTCTAGGGCCATGGCATTCAAAAGTATCAACCTGCTTGTTGTTCTGTTGGGGAAGGAGAAAATGGCATTTAAGAATTAAAACTTTGCTGTGGCACTGACTAGACCACTGAGTCCTTTTTGTGTTGTACTTGTTACAGCGTCTGATTTCAGTTTAATAATGCACCATTTCAGCAGCGATAAGAGTTGCAACTTAAGAACCAAGTTTCCAAATTAAGGAAATAGGTCTTTTTGTTAGGCTTCAATTTTCTGTCTTTTTAAAACGTATTTCATTATTTAGCAAAGGTCCAGTAAACCCTCCTTCTGAGTTAGAACGGTGAGAGGAAATAGTGTTATGAGAAAAGTGTTAAACAGGATAAATTTGTATGGATAAATCTGAGAAATTAGTCTAAGATCCACAAAAAGAATAATCAGAAAAATAATTTATTCACTTTTAAATATCATGGGGACTGCAAATTAAGCCTCTTTACCAGAAAACCATGTGAATGAGTCTCTTCTATAACTGCAAATGGAGCAGATAAAACTAGCAACCTGTTAAAGTTTCTCACACTACTTTGATGGGCAACAAAGGAGGATTCACAAATTATCAACTGTGTCAGAAAACTCATGACTGGTAGGCCAGGTGGAACCTTAAGAAAAAACATTACAGCAATACAGCAGTTAAGAGGAAGGTAACCAGAGGGAAAGGGAGACGGGACAGCTTCATGCACCAACAAAAAAAGGACCAGAAGGGGCCAACAGTGACTATTTATACCAAAATACTTTAATTACAAATACACTTACTACTCAAGAGAAGGAATGGAAGGAAACAGCATTGCAACAGGCCTTTAGGTGCCAATATTTAAACCAACTAACCTTTATGCTGAAAGTAACCACGCTGCCATTTGCAAGGCCTGCATAAAGGATCCGCCATCTACTATGTAAACAGAGCACCCGATCTTCCAATTTAAACTGTTCCATGCACTCTCTGGTCTGGCAATAGAAAGATGTATTTAAAGCTTTTCGTTAAATGAAAACAGTTCAGGGAAAAAAAGCCTAAAGTAAATTATGATTTTCACCTAGAAGCCGCATTTTTTGAACCAACAGAGCTGGAGAAAAACAGATGAAAGTCTGGTGTCATATGGCAGTTTGATCCTGGCTTTAATTAGCTTACTCCCATCTTTGATACCCGACTGTACTTCAGCAACCAGTTATAAACCTAAAAGCTTTATTCTAGTCACAACCTCTAATGTACATAGAAGTTTAGACTACAGACTATATATATATATATGGAAAACACCACTTGAGTTTAGGGAATCCCCATGAAGTTCTCCACAGGGAAGTGCCATGAATCATCAGCTTATGAATTAAAAACCTCTGGCATTTTATCCTCCATGAAGCAGATTATTTGCTTTCTAGTCCTTCAAGCCACAGGTTGGATACACCTTCCTATCATTTATCCTTAAAAGTCCAGCTTCAGGCAGTCTCAGTCTGCTCTTCCACCTGCCCTCAGAAAAACAGACACCTGTTCTCTCTACAGCTGCTCTACAAGAGCAGTGCCTTCCATAAGCAATGAAGTTAGAAATACAGCAAGACAAACATGATATTCATGGCCAGACAACCATCCTGCACTTTGGTGTTCCCAACATTTGGGATCCTGGGATGCTGGTCTGGAAAAACCACCGCTGATAAGCTAGACAAAAGATTATAGTAAATCACTTAACGGTTCTCTGTTTGCTTTAGTTTTAGTTTGGTTTTTTGTTGGGGTTTTTTTTATGTTCTCCACTCTAATGAGGTATGAAGCGGGGCTCACATCCAGATCATATGCGTTTAAAAGGCTTTTTTCATTTATATTTGCAAATAATCACTTGCAAAAAAATGCTGTATGTGTTAACACAGAATTTGAGTACCTTGATATTGTAACAGTTGATAGTGTGGTCACTTGAGCCAGTGTAGAGTGCAGCATTCTTCCCATTTGTCTGAGTGACCAGGAGGCAGTTCACTTTTGATGTATGCCCTTCGAAGATGGCCACACACTTCCGGCTCTAAAAAGGAAAGCATAGGGTCTGTCAACATAAAGGCCTGTAATGCTTCTCGGGATCTGCACCTGACAGAGCAGTGTAGGACAGCTAAGAAAAGCAGGACATATGCAGCAATCTTTCCCCTTACTCTTCTCACAGAGAGAAGGGATTGGGGATGGGGAGAAGAAAGATTTGAAGAAAAGAATAGCATTAAAAAAATTAGGCTCTTGAAAAAGCAGTGGCTTCCTTAACTACTTAGTAAGGCTTTACAAAAACAGAATTGCAACACTGTGACTGCAATTAATGTAACAGCATTCCCACAACCTTACTTACAACCAGACTGTAAGCACAAACTGTTTTGTCTGCTGAACAGGTATACAACAAATTCCCAAAAATCTGAATAGCATTCACTGCAGCCAGGTGTCCCTCAAAGTTTCCCTCCGTAGGTTCTTCATCCTCACCTGGCTCCGAAGACACTTCTGTAGGACAGAGACACATGGACTTTGATTATGCAAACACACTCAAGCAAACACACTACCATTGTTTATATTACCAAACATCAGAATTATTTCATGGGCTCAGCATCTTAAAGCCAGGTTTCATTGTGGGTTCCAGCTGGAGCCTGTAAGTGGCAGAAGGCAATATAAAATGCTAGAAAGACCTTTATGTGATGTTAGGTCCAGAAAGATCTTTAAAATAGCAAAAGGATTGTATTATTCTTTGTCCTACAGCTCTACAGAGGCTGTGGAGCAGTGTTCATGCGGAAGGGGGCAGGAGAATGTGGAAGGGTCACTTCAGTTTTAAGTGCAAGTTTTTATCTTCAGGGCAAAATTCCCTCCTGGAAGCAGTTCAATCAAGGCATAACTCAAAGTCCTGCAAGATACTGCTGAGAAGGACTTGGGGGTACCGGTGGATGAAAAGCTGGACGTGAGTCGGCAATGTGCGCTCACAGTCCAGAAGGCCAACCATATTCTGGGCTGCATCAAAAGAAGTGTGGCCAGCAGGTCAAGGGAGGGGATTCTGCCCCTCTACTATGCTCTGTTGAGACCCCACCTGGAGTCCTGTGTCCAGCTCTGGAGCCCTCAGCACAGGAAGGACATGGACCTGTTGGAGTGGGTCCACAGGAGGGCCACAAAAATGATCAGCCTAGGAGGACAGGCTGAGAGAGTTGGGGTTGTTCAGCCTGGAGAAGAGAAGGCTCCAGAGAGACCTTATTGTGGCCTTCCAGTACTTGAAGGGGGCTTCTAAGAAAGATGGGGACAGACTTTTTAGCAGGGCCTGTCACAACAGGACAAGGGGTAATGGTTCTAAATTAAAAGAGGGTAGATTTCAACTAGATCTAAGGAAGAAACTTTTCCCATGAGGGTGGTGAAACACTGGCACACGTTGCCCAGAGAGGTGGTTAGATGCCCCATCCCTGGAAACATTGCAGGTCAGGCTGGACGGGGCTCTGGGCAACCTGATCTAGTTGAAGATGTCCCTGCACATTGCAGGGGGGTTGGACTAGATGACCTTAAAAGGTCCCTGACAACCCAAAGATTCTATAAGAAAAGCTTAAAAGATATACCTGACGAGTTCTTTGATCCTCTTAGCGATGATATGGAAGTCTGCGTCTCAGCCACACTAACACAGAAATAAAGAATAGCGAGATTGGACTTTGCATGTTCATTTTCAGGCAAAATACTGGTGTAAGTAATACTCCAGAATACAAGACTCTGCACTTAGTAGAAAACAGGCTGCGACAGATAAACTCAAAAACAAACTTTCCATGGAGGGCAGCTCTGTTGTTCTAGTACAAAAATTAGTAGGTAACAAGACACACTCATTTGTTAGACCAAGAAAGCAAATTCCGTTTTCACTTTTCCCTCTTATTTCACTCCTGAATGAAATTAAAAGTTACTGTTGTTGTGAGACTTTCTGAAGAGGGGTGGGGAGGGGGGGAAGGAAAAAATGAAAAAAAATGGAGGGGCCTCTCATGCATATTGCATAATGCTTTTACTTTCCGGAGATCTACAACGATCTCACCTTCTTTTCCCATCATCCCTATAATTTGTGCCAATCTCGCTGGTAGAGCTCACTTCATCATAACCAGAGCAAGATGCCTCCAGGACTGCTTGATCCACAGAGCTGCGTGAATCCCTCTTTGATGGACTGTCTGGTTTCTCATCTCCTGACTCTGATGAACCAACGTCAACCACCTCACACTGGGGTGCTGGAACTTCAACTAGTTCCAGAGAAGCATCGCTGTCATTCTCATCTTTGTTTCTTGCTGTTTGAGTGGTAGCTCCAACCTCCTGTCTTGGAGGAGTGGATGTAGTAACTTTTTCTCCTTTAGGCACCTTTCCACCCTTAACTTTCCGGACAGGCTTAGAGTCAATTATATCCTGTTCTGTATCACTGTTCTCTGGCACATGGGCTGCCCTCAGAGTTTTCTTCTTCCTTAACTTCCTCCTCCTCCTGTTCCCTTTTTCTGCTGCGACTACAGTGGTTGCCGTCTGTTGCTCAGATGGTTCTGCTGACAATCTGGGGGTTTTATCCATTGGCATTTCTAGAAGGACTGAATGCTTTGGAAGAGAACTACTACACTGATCCAGTAAAAAGCTTCCAGTGACTGTATCATTTGCTTCCCTCTTGCTGAAAACAGACAGTAAACAAGGAGAAGGGTTCTCAGGAAGTCCAGCCTTTCCCCTGTCCACAGCAGGCTTACGAACATCTTGATTAGCGCGTTGGAAACAAGCTGCCAGCTCCGATAGGGATATGGTTGCAGAGATAACTGGATACACTGAAGTTTTCTGGTTGGTCTCTACTGAAGAAAACAGACTAGTGTTACATTCAATCTGTACAGCAATAAGTATTTATGCAAAATGGCTTTCCCTGGATTTTTCTGTTTATACTTAACTGTGAATGTAAAGTACATATTCCTACATGTTGAAAGCTATGTGCACATGCAGACCTGCTACTTCAGACAGCTATCCAGCCTTTAAAAAACATAGTTGGGTAATAAAATGGTCATCTGTGTACCCAGAAGCAAAGGAATGGGGCACATCATTCAAGTTGCTGGCTGACTGTATGCTTTTAAAGTTCTGACAAACAAGCTTTGATGAATCCTATGTTGTCAGCTTAAGATGCTACCACCCTTCATTGTGTGCTCCCTTACCAGCTGTCACCACTGCTGTAGGACTGGTATTAACGAATGCATGCCTAATACGTCTCAGCTGCTCAGTGACACAGTTTGCAGACCTTGTGCTTAACCCACCTGCATTAGTTATTTCTACCAAGAGGAGTCATGCACAACCCACTCTGCAGCATCATACCTTCTATCCTGAGATTGGCAGCACTATAAGCCACCAGGGTAAGCTTTGTTAGTTCATCTGTGGTAGACTAAGTGATAGGGCAAACATACTCTCCTGTCATTTTAATTCGACGCTAAATGAATCCAGCCTCTCAACCGAGACAGGATAAGGACGCAGGCAACGTCTCACAGCTGTGTCTCCCCCACCCTAAAATTCCCTGGTTGCATTTGCAATAACTACAATCCAGAACAGGATATTTCAAGTTCACTGCATTTATTGGGTGGGATCCTTCAATGCAAATGGGAAGCTGGCAGTATTTGAAACACTTCCCTGCTTCAGTGTCTTAGAACCCAGCAAATTAAATCTACAGCAATGCTTAGACAAAGCTGTTGGACTGTTTAACACATCACAGTACAAATTTGATAGTTTGGAATTACGCATCCAACTAGACACAGCTTAAATGTGAACATCTTGCCCTACGCCTTCCTCAGGTGAGAAGTTCCAAGATAAAATTAGAACTTGCTGACAGTGTAGGATATCAAATTCATTTGATGTCAGACACCCATTTTAAATGTAGCACATACAGAAGTTGATCAATACCAAAACCACATTAATTTGACAAAAAACAGCCAGAGAACATTCTTGCTTTTAACATGCCAAAAATTGAGTTTGTAGGAAACTGACAAATACGCTAATGTGTGGAAGACATTCATTATTTAAGTAACAAATACATCTATAAATTCAAGATTCATCTTTAAGAGAAAAAAAAAAACCCTCTTCAGCTTCTGTTGTGCCTGCACAGATATCAATAAAGTCTGAAGATTCTGCAAGCAAGACACATCATGCCACTGCACCCAGTGATCACTAAATCTTTATTCTGAATTTTCCAACTCTAACATTAAAGAAAAATGACACCTTTCTTCATTGATGTTTAAACATAAGAGAATGGCATATGCCAATAAAAATGGGAAAGCGAAGGAAAGGTACTGTCTTCCTACAAGCTGAGTCTTAACTATGCCAACAAACACAAAAGCTGATTCTCGTCCTTGCCCCCAAGTTTACTTTAGCGTACACCACTAGAGCTTCATAATCCCTGTCAAATCCTCCAAAAAGAGATGAAGCAAAATTCACAAAACTACATTAGTGTAATGTAACACAGTGGAATATAGGAAATGCAATGGTGATTAAAAAAGCACAAAGAACACTATTTATATAGAATTCTACAGCTGAAGCAAACTGCAAAAAGGTAAAAAACCCCTTCAAATTCTTGTATTTACAGAAGTCTAAGCTTCAAGTCAGCCAACACTTATCTTGTGCCTGAGAAAAAAACATATGCTTATAAAAGTAGAACAGCATGGCTTTTTCCAGTAGTATTTGCCACTTCAGTTGAAAGAAAAAAAATTGTGTTGGCTATATTTACCTTTAACAAGGATCTATGAATTATTATCTCAAATTATCCAAGTTAAGGGTTTGGGTAAGTGCCATTGTTATGGCAGACAAACAACTGTCATTAGAGTGACCCTGCTTGACTTCACAGGCTCTTAGGAAAGGAAAGGATGAATGAGCTTTTAATCTTCACTTTGAACCTTCAGTCACAGTAGCAAGTTGCAGTGGGAAGTACCAATAGCATTGAAGCCTTTGACCACAGACTACAGTACAGGAGTTCTAGAGGTTTTAAACTGTCTAAATAGAGAGTTAGCAATTTGTCGTGGTTTAGCCCCAGCCGGCAACTAAGCACCACGCAGCCGCTTGCTCACTCCCCCACAGTGGGACAGGGGAGAGAA